TATAAACATTATGATCATGTACGTTATGGGCAATTTGGTTATAAAGCGGTGAACAGTAATGACGAAGATAAAGTTAACGCTATGTCTGTTGAAAACCCGCAAGTTACTGTAACTAACTATGATAATATGGAGAGTATGTCGGGATTCACGGTAATGCATATCAATGATGGAGAAAGAAACGATGGAAAATTGGAAGAAGTCCCTGATGGAAGATATAAACATTATGATAATGTACGTTATGGTTATAAAGTGGTGAACAGTGACAACGAAGAGTTTGAGCAAGATGATAGGAGTTATAAATATCATGATAATGCACGTTACGAACAATTGAATAAAACGGTGGACAGTAGGCCGCAAAGTCCAGAATATCCGGAATAAGAATATTTAGTATGCAAGGAAAGTTTTAGCATGTATATTCTACCTAGATTGTGAAAGAAAAAAAAAATCAGAGCATCCCTCTATTAATTAAAATTTTCATTCTCAACTATAGCGAATATTTCATACTTTTCTGATCTTTTAATCCTTAGGATAGTTCTTTTGATAAATTAAAATATTAAAATGAAATATTTGTTTATATACTGTGTAGATTTTAATGTAATATTATTGTATTATTTAGCATTTGTATTTATTTGTATTTAAAAGCAAACTTTAGTATATTGTTAAAAACAAAAAGAATAAATGCATAAAAAATTATGTTTTATAGTACCCAATACTTTTGCGTCTTTTGAATTCGATATCCGCATCTTACAGAAAGAAAAAAAACAAAAAACAAAAGCGCTTATAATGGAGCATCCAATTAAACAAATGTGAATGTCCGAATTCACTTTTGTCTACTTTTGTCCGTTTGTATGCATATGGCTAATTGTTTGCTAGTGACGTTAATTGATAAGACATTTACGCGAAATTTATTTCTTGGTTGTGCATTACTACAGTAAAATAGCAGAGGTCTTTTTCGATTTTTAACAGCTGCCCTACCTTGTTTAGTGCGTCGAAAGTGCGCGTCGAGTGTAACCCAGGTTCGCATAAGGAGAGCTTCTCCCTGCGTTACGAATACAAAGTAGAATTTCCAATTATATTATATAATTGGAAATTCTATTTTGTATTCGTAACGCAGGGAGAAGCTCTCCTTATGCGAACCTGGGTTACACTCGACGCGCACTTTCGACGCACTAAACAAGGTAGGGCAGCTGTTAAAAATCGAAAAAGACCTCTGCTCAGTAAAATGTCTTTGAAATAATTATCATAGATGAATTGTGGAGTCGAGGAGAATAGATACATATTCGCGCAGAATAAATATATATATATATATTTAATTGTGAAATAATCCATAATCACTAAATAAAATCTATCTCTTAAGAAACCTACGATTCTTTCAGATCTTCAAAGAAAAAACATGACACGTTCTAGATCGCATCGATACACAAAACTATCGAATGAACAAAATTTATTAAATCAAACCATGGAAAATTTTTATAACGTATTACGAAAAACAAAGATGGATCAATATAATGAATCAGCAAAATTTTGGATGTTGGAATACCAACAGTTTAGGAAAAAAGTTATCCATGACGGATTTAACGATTTATTCGAGAGAAAATTATAGTTTAATATCCTATGGTGGCATTTATAAAATTCCAAGTTTATTTTGATGCTATTGATGGTTTCTTTGTTTTATAACGTATTTTCATCATCTTTTTAAAGCACCATAAATTCATAATATTCAGGATATTAAAAACATGATTCCTATTTTATTTAACAAATGTATTCTATTTTATTTAACAATAAAATTTCGTCTTTATAGTCTTGAATTTTTTAACTCTTTTACCCATTAATTGTATCAATGTTATTTGAGTGCCGCAAAACGAAGAAACTGGAATTGCTGAGTTTCATTTACAGAAACGAGCTTATTATAATCCGATAAGCTTGTTTCCGTAAAGTTTCCGTAAACCAGAATTCCGGTTGTTCGCTTTGTAGAAATTTTCTTAAAGCGCGACTGATTGATCTATACGCTGCATAAATTGTATTCTTGATTTCAATATATAAATAATAACACTAATTACATCAAAAAGGTAACCCCTAACCTTAGCCGGCTTTAAGGATGCACGTTGTTTACGTAGAAGTTATTTCTATGTTAGATATCTAATGGCTAGAAATGAACTGAGACTTATAAAATTATTAAAATTTACTACGCATTACCTTGGCCATATGACGCTGTTCACCCCGTGATTTTTAAC